GTAGTGGTAATTTACAGTACATTAAAAAATTTTTTGATTATATACGAACGATGAGATTGATTTTATAGATGAATTCCTTGATTTTCAAAGCCTTGTAAGACCGGACGTAAGTGACATTTTTTTTGGAATTAAGAGAATTCACACAAGATAAGTGCTGGTTTGGGTAAATTGATTCGAGACATTCAACCGTTTTTTTGATAAATAAAATTAAATTCCTATATCATCCATCATTAACTAATTTGTAATATGAAAAGAGTCAGACATAATCTTGTTAATGTTTATGATTCCATTGTTTGACGGTGTGATTTAATATGCTGTAAATACTGCCATTGTTTCAAACAATTAGGTTCCCATAAAATCTTGTATCGAATTTGTTCAAATAAGAAAAAATATACAGTATATATACAGTATATCAAAATTCACCTGGTATTGCATTTAATTCATCGTGAGTCAATCATCCTACCATAGCATCGGCGATTTCTATCAACATTTTTTTAATCTGATGCCAAGAAGTTTGGTTCTATTTTTAAAAGGAAAGTCAACTTGATCGGGTTGCCCATTCATTCCTCATATCGATACGCCCAGGAGTTATCGATTAGGAAATAAAAAAATGAAATGGCAAGGCCCAATCAACGCAAAAAGTTCATTCCGAGAAGCATACTTTCCTTCCCACAGGAGTCATTAACCGTTTTCTGGTTTCAACAGATGGTATCACGGGCTCAGAAGAGTATTATTACATAGTTGGAGATTGCAGCGGTGACGATGTAAGAGGGTGAATGTTTCTCACATGCAAAGTGCTTGCGACCATTCTGATATCAACAAAGACAAAATTCATGTTTAACATTTGCATTACCAATAGTCTCTTCCAAGAGTTGTAGAACTATCGTTACCGAAATTTTTAGATGAAGCTGAATGTGGAAATGCGGAAATGTGTAGTATAGTTGCTCCACTTGCAACATGCCGATATCATATTGATTTCGATAACGATTAACATTCTACTTTCCTGAAGCGGTTATCGGAGTATTCCTAAGTCACAAAATTTCCGTTTGTCACATTCGCGAACATTGTCATTTGAAGACCACATGGGGGTGTTCATTATAAAAATGGAAGGAGAGGTTTTTTGATCGTGAGTATAATAAACTGTACACCGATTGTTCCAAATATAAATGCACAATAATATACATCTTATAAATACGGTACTTATGTCCTAGCAGACGACTGCTCTGCACAAACTAGTTGCTATAAATTGATTAGACATGGTCGCTTGGAGATAAAAAGCTCCTTTTGAAAAAGACCAGACCTGCATTTCCGACTTTCAAAGAACCTTACGGGGTTTCCGATTTTCTCTTTAGTGAGGACGTTAGAATAGCATAAAACGTATCATATTGTTCCAAGAGATTAGAAGTAAAGCACGGCGTCGTGTTCAATTTATTTCATTTCTCGTTTTTCAGCAATAAATCCAAGATATTTTTTCTGATCGTGTTTCGTCCTGCTTAAAAACGGAGGCCTTTGAGCTGGTGTTATGGGGAGCAAGAATACTATCTGACTTGAAAAAATGCGTGCTTTGTGGTCATATGGGATCATATGTACACGACGATAATTGGATGTTCAAATTTAACAAATTGTTCGTTGACCTCAACGAACCGTTAAAAACACAATAATGTCGGCTTCGTTTAATTTAGCCAAAGCAACATATGATATTTTTTATCTACATATAATAAACATGTTTAATATAATGCACAATCCAAAGTATTCAATCCGAAATTAGTAGTGTCTATTAAGACGTGCATGTTAAAATTCGTTGTTTAGGGACTGTTGAATGGGTCAAGTAAACAAATGCGATAATTTATGCACTTCAGCACCTCTTTCTGGATACATCTATGATACTTTGTGATTTCCAAATAGATGTAATCCATTGAGTGAACTTTTTTTTTTTTTGGTAAGTCAAATGTCTAATATGATCAAAAAAAAAATTTTTTTTCTTAAAAGACAAAGGGTTAAAAGTTCATAATTTGGAAATATGATAGAATAGCTGCCACGTATCAATGGTCGTACGTCAGTCCGCCACACATAACCTTTAATTCCATGCAGCATGATAGAATGGGTAAGGCTCACTCCACGTATGACGGCAACAATAAAGCCTAATTTCAATCAAGCAAGCCCAAATTTGTGGAATTTTCTGTTGCACCTTAAATTTCTGTTACTTTACTTTCCCAAAGGAGTCGAACCCGATGCCGTTATTTAGCACGCTAAACATTTTTACTTGTCAAAAAAAAAAAATATGTACATCGCGTGACCATTCTCGATGCGTGATCGGAGTTTTGAAAATTAAACGAGTATAACATATCCTCTAATGAAGCGCCATGGGGTGGAAAAATCACCGTGCACCATCGCACTTCGGACGTACCGTACAATATATCGATGATCCCTTATTTCTCGAAAAAAAATAATTCTTTTTATCATGAATTGAAAACCGTATTATTATAGATTCATCGAACGTTTGGCGACAGAAAACCATTGAACCATTGAAATTCATATATTAAAAATCGGGCGTCACATTTGATGCTGACGGTACGTACTTTTTCATTAACATCGTGTTATTATGTCTACATATATAGAGGACTCAATGCAGTTCATTCATACAGGACAATCGTTATTTCCAACTTTGACCGGGGATCATGTGGGTCAAGTCAATCATATTTGCATGCAACCACAAACTCAGCCAACTTCACCTTTAAAAACGTAATGGGTGATTTCTTTTAGTAGCGCAGCGCAAACAATGATCCTCTCGCACGGATTCAAATGAGGAAAGTTGAATGGTTGGATTGACGAAAATCTTTTGATAAAGATAAACCAACCACACTTGCACATCTCGAATTTATACGTAATACGCGCCAAACATATTGAATGAGGTAGTTGTGCATGCGTTGTCTGTCGCATTAAATTAAATTCTGCGAGGAAATCTTGGGTGACCACTTATTGCAGGGACAAAACAGAAATTACGTAAGTAAAAGAAAAACGTTTTTTTTATGGAAAAACGGATGATCCCCCTGATTAATAAGAAGATGGCGGTGTTTCGGCGGATAAATAAAATGAACAAAGTAATAATAATAATAATAATAAATACGCAATAATTAAATTTAAGAGTGCCGCGGCTTTCATTCATCTATATCTTTTTTGGCAATTAAAGTAGGGTGCATAAATTATTTTATATATTTATCCAGGGTTTGATTGACCTTCTCACCAAAAAGTTGGATTCCAAAAAACAAAAAAAAAAAAAAAATCTCAAGATATCTCACGTGAGACCTCTCATATGAGTAATGTCTGTTCCCTTTCACTCTCTCCACCGTGTAAAATGGGTTATATACAATTCTTCAAGAACCTTTTCACATTCGAACGATTGTCGAATAGGGAATTGTTCACGCGATCCAAGATTCCATTTTTTATAACACTGTTTACCATATGCCGACCTATGCCGACCCTATGTCAACCCTATGTCAACCCTATGCCAATTACTATGTAACTGAATGAATAAAACATTCGATCCTTAAAAAATGTGGTTTAATTCTATTTCCCCCAATATCGAGGCCTAAGTGAGGGAACCCGCACGCTTACGACCAATGCACCTAAGCAAATCATCTTAAGAAACATTTGCCAATCAAATTTATGCCTCAACAAAACAAACCCTTGAACACCATCTGCTCATCCATTTCATAAATTGGTTTATGCCATAAATGGAAATGGAAACTTTAACTTAAACCTAGTTTAAGTTCACATTTTAAGACTTTTTTTTTTATTAGTTTAAAAATTTAAATTTTCCGTTAATCGGTACACACATAATGTTAAATTAGAATTAAGATTGTCGTCATCTACGGTATATGCACCTTACATATGGTATACCCCGCCCGCCTGATATAAAATGCTAAGGGCCAACATGAATTCCGTGTTGCTTCTATTTATGGAAATGCGTCTGAGCACCATCGTTCTTATGTTAAACTCATAATGCCACCGTATTTGGAACAAGCTATCTTAAACATCTCTATTTAGGGAAAATAAAATATTGAATATATAGATTAATTAAGCTATTAAGATATACCATTACTTAAACTATGCCGGCATCTTGTCCATGGTATACAAGAAGGCCGACCGTTTTCATATCCGTCTTTGGGTGGGATTTTCATGACCATGCTTTCAACGCATTCGTTGAAAAGCGGCGGGTTTTCGCCTCTTTTGGACCTCGACCTCATTTTTTCGGGATGAATCTTCAATGGATTCTGAGTTATTCAATTAAGGTTGCAGGGAAATGAAAAAGTTCCATATCATTTCCCTATATTTTGTATATTATTTATATGTTTCAGCTGGTGAATTCTCGAACCAGATGGATGAACAGAGCAAACATCAGTCTGCCAATTTTTTTAGCTTATATGTTTTTTTTTTTTTTTTGATTTTTTTTAATTCGAAAGAAATGGTGGGTCACCTAATTAATGTTATGGCTAAACCAAAACTAAAAAAAAATCTTTTGATACCGATTTCACCCTTTTTATATATGGGTGCAAACTATTATCCAAAACAGTAATTTTGTTATCTCGGGTTGTACTGTACAGCAACTTTCTTAATACAGTATATTGATCCGTGCATCCCCAAGTTAAATTAATATCGAAGTGTCAATGATTACAAGTGAAAAATATGCAATGCATTCATTGAAAACGCATAATTGCTAATCTGAGAACATTTTGCTACTGGTGATTACGATCGTTCATCATGAAGGCTGAAGTTCTTTATGATAAAGAGGAATGCATGCATGGACACAACCTTTCGAGAGGTGAATCGCTAATGTTCATTTGTCATCTCGAGATTTTGGATTCAAAAAAAGCTGTCACGAGAGACCTTTTGACACCTCTCATGCAGCAACAATAAAACGCCGACCTTTCGCTTTTTCGCTTAGTATGCGTTGAACAAAAGACGCATGAAAAAAGAACAATGAGTTATTGTGTCTAGCCAAAAATCAACGCTATTACAGCATTAGTAAATCCGAGCACGCAATCTTTCATTCAAATCTGATTGGGCGGCTGACATTGCTTTTCGATTTGAATTTGATGTGAAAAAAATAATGCACAATAAATAGGAATTTTTGATCGCTGGCTAATATCAATAAGATTTGGTTATTCAATTTTTTTTTTTTTTTTTTAAGAAAAAAGATAAGATGTCCTGAATAAAATTACATTAATCGGTTCTAAAACGTTAATCCATTCTGATAACAAATAACAATTGTTTGTGTGTACGTATGAATGAATAAATAAATAAATAAATAATATCAATCGCTTATCAAAAAACTTTGTGTAAAAATTTATACAATACATGCATTTCCAGTATATTTCATATCTGTGCAACTAGAAAAATCGAAAAAAAAAAAAAAAAAGTGTTTGTATTTCCAATTCTTTATCCATCCAATATGTCCAAGCCTTGTCTTGTCTTGTCCCTACGAACGTTAAAAACGGTTGGTAATATCCCCACCCCCACAATGATATACAGTGACGCACGATTGCACGGGACACATTGCACAAAGATAAATGAGGACCGTGCAGTACGACATAAGTTGGAAATCAACCAAAAAACATGATTTATATAAGCAAGCCTCCTTGCAATCTTGTAATTGATTAAACTCGATGTGAAACAAACTGGGTGATTACAAAGAAGGTAATTAATTGTATTACACTTTGTCATCGTATTTGACTTGGTGTTACCAAATTGGTATCTACCCTAATCTCATAGTGATCAATTCTAGAATTGCCACATTTGTTGAATCTGAGTCTCGGATGGAGAATGATTCACTTAAACTAAGTAACACTCATTCATAACTCGTTCGTCTTGCTTAGGAATAAACATAAATCTCGACTTCTCACTACAATATAGACATGAATAAAATATTCGCCCTTTAATTTATTATTATCTTGGCTAGTTGGTTGACCTCTTCCTCAGAATTCAAACTCGTAATAATGAAATGAAAAAAAACATGGTAACCACATTTGCATGTACCATTTGACTACCTGACCGGTGGACATCATGCGTTCGTAAGAATTTGTAAATTCAAGATCATGCATGGCCTTAGCTAAATCTCTTCTTCGAGTAGTCAAAATTGAGGAACAGAATATTCTCATAAATAAAGAACGGTTCCGAACAAGCCCCAAGAACGATGTTCCTCGAGTTGTATCACCATGTGCTATAGTGTGATTGATGCATGACAAGTGTGAAAGCTTTAGACAATGCAATCTGTCACGGTACCTAGGAACGGGCACTTCACATCCAACCCTTTTTAGGTAACACGCAGGATAAACGTTTGAAATTTAAGGATAGCCTTCAACCTGGGAAGATGGAGGTAGTGTGGTGTGTAATGAATCGGCCCATCCATAGAAGCATTTGCTGCACTCTTGTTGCACTTGGTGGTGGTTACTGATTAAATACTGTATATAATAAAGAAAAATTAAGTTCAGAGTGTTTGTGTTAGTTTGTGTTAGATTCACAACCATATTTCCGTCTGAGATAGGATAATTAATCATCACCTCCCACAACGCCCATACTATTATCAAAGGGATGATGCGATACTTGCAGTACCTACTCAGCAGATAAAATGTCCATAAATTCTACGTGTGCTTGTTGAAAAAGTGAGACTTATTGGTTTTACGTTCACACTACATTTCCGACACACCCCGTAGAAGTCCCTTGACCAACAGCCATACACGGTAGTAGTACTCGTGAAAAAAATTGGATAAAACAAAGCCTGTCTTTGTTTCATGATGTCTGAAATGACAACGTTAAAAGTTTGTGATCATTTTTTTAACCCACAGGTCGCGTTAACAACTAAATGGAAGAATGAGTCCTTGAAATGGTGACTCTTCACGAAAAAGGTCCAATACTTTTGTCGCATCCTACACCCAGAGAGAAGAAAATTTTTCACCTACCGCACTTCTACTGGAATTTTTATTGAAACGTATCGAGAGATTGTGTTCCCCTCGAACAACAAAAGTCAAACTCCTAAGCTTCTAACTTGAACCTACTTAATAAAAGATACATTCATAAGAAGGGAAAGAGATGGTAAAACGAGTTAGTTGTCTCGTGCAATGTGATTACCAAACATTCGTTTATGTGATTGTATTTAAACAAACGAAGATATTCCTGAAACAAGGAAAAAGACAAATTTTACATTTTCGATAGCCTTTCCTTGAGCTCGAAAAGATAAGAACGTTGCACTTGACTCTAAACGAGCATCAGTCGTGATCTGCAATCTGTACTACAAGTGGTGGTGCAAAAAGAATAAAATTGTTTCGCGCAAATTTTTAGTTTCTATCATTAATAGTAATTGTTTTTTTTTTTTTCGGCCGAAAATGCTTGCTGTATATCGTTATTTGATTTGATCTGTTCTGTTTGCATGGTTATCTTATTGTTTTAATAAAACACAAAATAAAGTTTATAACACACGAAACCTTTGCTTGCCATCATAAAATAATATGCATCAATTTTTTTTTTGCAAACCTGCAGAATCAATGTTTCACTGGCTTGATCCGGAAGTTACCAAAAATAACAATGCCACTGTTTTCAATGAACCTATTTATAATTTAATAATAAGAATTTGGTAATTTCTTTTCTTTCTATATAAAAAATATATTTTTTATTACTTTTTAACAAACAATATATATATTTAAAAAAATCTACTGTATATAACATATTGTTTTTAAATAATATGAATTTTTGAAATCAATAAGATATACGATACAATTATATAGCATATCAATTTTTTTAAAAAATAGGTTAATACAATTGTTTGTTTCAATTTTAATATATAAAAAAAAAATTTTTTTTTTTAATTTGATATAAAAAATAGTTGAATTGTTTATTTTAAATCTTTATTGATAATTTATAATAATAATATTATTATTTTAATGAAAATATTTATTTAAAAAAGTTATAATAGAATTATTGATCGTATTACAAAATTATTGATTAATCAACTTTATATTATATAAAATATTTTTATTATATAATATTTTTAATATAAATTATATAATATATAATATATTGGATAAAATAAATTTGAATATATTTTATAATTTAAATTTTAAATTAAAATTATAAAATAATCTTAATAATAAACAAATCTTTACTCTAATAATAACTTTATTATTTTAAATAAGCATTAACTATATAATACTATTGACATAAATTTATTTACTAAAAATCAATTTGTATTAATAGCATGTTATAATAAGCTATAATTAATTTACTTTTATAAAAATTATTAATATAATAACAATAAATTTATATTTAAATAAATCTTATATTTAATATTTATTTGTAATAAAAAAATAAATAAATTTAAATAATTCATAAATATGATAATATTGAAAATAAATTACTTAAATAAAAATTATATATTGATATTTTTTATAATAAAAAAATAATATATAAAGTTTTTTTTAAAAAAAAATCAATTTTTTATGTTTCTATAAATAAATATTACAATTAAAATCTTTTTAATTTGTATTAATCATTATTAAATTAAATCAAACAATAATAAACTTTTTCTTATTTTTACTAATAATTCAAATAAAATAAAAATTTTTTTAAAAATTTTTATAGTCATAAATAATTATAAAATTATAAAATTATTAATTGAAAAAAAATTTATAATAATTTTTTATAATAATTTTAAGTAAAAAAAAATAGTTTATATTTTTTATTATAAATAAATTTCAATATAAAATCTTAAAAACCTTTAAAATAATAAATACAATAAAATTGAACCTTTGATTGAAATTGTTTATTCTTTAATTATATAAAAAAAAACTTAACAGTGTTTTTTTCTTTTGTTTTCTTATATTTCTTCTTTTACCTATTATATTATAAAATTATTCTTTTTACTAATTTTTTTATTAACACAAAAAAAAAAAATATTTCAAAAAATTTTATATTTCTTTATAATAAAGTTTATATATATATATTTAAACAATATTATTATTTAGAGACTTTGGTTTTTTTTTCTTTGATATAAACTTTTTACATTTTTACAAATAAATATAAGAAAAACCTATTTACAAAATTAAAAATAAAAATATTTTATTAGAAAAAAAAATCTATAAAAAAAATATTTACTTTTTCTTTAAAAATTCAAAACTTTAAAAAAAACTGATACAAGTTTTTGAAACTTTTATTTATTTTTTTCAAGACTTTCTCTTGTCTTTTTTAATATATAAATTTTTTTTTCTAAAAAATTTTATCTATTTCAGTTTGATTCTAAATTTTTATTATATTAGAATTCTTAAATAATAATTAATTCAAAATTTGAACTGATTAATTTATATATAATGCTAGTGGAAAATGGTATGGGGTATGGTCATGCAACATGACCTGGTGCGTCACGTACCCTGATTTTAGATAGCTAATATGGTAATTGATAATTTAGTATAGCCTACTTAAGCATAATATAATTTAGGAAAAAGTCTAATGTAGTTATTGCCATTATTAGTCAGATAGTCTAATTATCAACCGATAGTTTTTAATAGTATAAGAAGGGATTACATAACGTGACATGCCAATATAAATAGAAGAACAAAGAGGTAGTACACAGCACAACGAAAAATAAGATCAATACCAAAAAAAAAGAGAGAATAAAATAATATTCCTAATTAGGGACGTGCGATCAACGTTGCCAAAGAGAGTAAAAATATAAATTACTTATCTAATCCAGTACTTGTCGTGAGATAGGACGACTGGGACCACAAGAGAGAAAGTGGTAAGACTTGTCAAGGAAGCGCGGACAACGGAAAGAGAAGGAAAAGTGATTAGTAAAGAACTCGGTTGAATAAAATCACACGTCTCAAGTAGAGAAAGCCAAAAACCTACCTGACGTTATATGAGTTTCTACTGCCATTAGCGACAGACTCGCCGGGAGAGACGTCAACAATAATAAAAAATATAAACAAAACATATAACTTTCATATATTTCATCACCTACACTATAAAATTTAATAATATTATTGAATATAATAAAAAAAGCAAAATAACAAAATATAAAGTTTTTTTTTTTTCTTTTAAACTGGATTTTTTTTTCTTCAAAGTTATATTTTAATTCAATAAAAAGCTTTTTCTATTAATAATTATTTCAAAAAAACATTAAATCATAAATGATAAACTTTCTAGACAATAATTCCTACTGTAAACCTTATTATAAATTCTTTGAATATTTTTGGTTATCAATTAAATAATAAAAATCAAATAGTTTTTTCAATTATAAATAGTAAAAAAGATTTATATTAATAGATTAAAATTAATTTTAAAAAATTTTTATTTATCAAAACAAAGTATTCAAATATTTTTACTTCTTTTTTTTTATTTTGTCAATTTTTTTATCTCTTAAGACTACAAGTTTATATTAAAATAATGGTTTAAATATAAGTTAACAATAATTTTTTTTAAAATCAAAAAAAATCTTAAAAAAAAGCAATTTTATTATTTTTACAATTATATTTAGAAACTTAAGATTTAAAAAGTCTAAGATAGTTAATATTACATAATAATAGTTTAACTAATCTACTTTTTTATAATAAAATAGTTGGTAAATAATTAAATAATGTAAATAATATAGCGATTTTAATATTTTGATATTAAGAATTTAAAAATTATATATAAATTTATAGACAGATATTTTGTAATATATACAGTTTAGCTTTAATATAATATCTTAAGATATAATATATTATTATTATTATTATTTTTGTAGGTAAACATTATCACTTTATTAATTGTAAAATTGTTTGAAATTTATATATGGAGAAAACGACAACATCTCTTATATAACTAGCTAGTTAATAAGTCTAATACTAGCTTGCCTACATGAACTATCTTAGTGATAAGAAAAATAAATATTAAAACCGTTACATATCTGAGATAGTGTCAAGCAGCTATGAATACCTACTTAGGATTATTAATGAGATTGTTAAAATTAGTTATTAAATTTTTGTAGCATAGAGTAGAGTTGTAATTGCTGTTAATAAATTTGTTTGTAACTAAAGATAGAAGATCCACCATTAGTTCACTGTCAGAATTTGACTTAGATCTAAAGTTTAATGCTTCCTGGTTTGAATTTTTGGATTGGTGTTGTTATTGTTATTGTTATTATTGATCTTTTATTGATGAAGGTTCGGGTCCCATTTAATTCCAGTAGTGAGAGATGTGTTTGCTATATTACACATTGGTTTCCAAATTAGATTATAAAGTAGCATGAGGCTTTCAAAAACTGCTTTGATCCATATAATAGTATCTACTATAAAATGTATATTATTGATAAGGCTATACGAAAGCTTGACTACTTGCCAAATGTGGTCTATAGGTTTGTTACTTTGGTCTGGATATAAGATATTATTTATACTGTTAATAATTCGAGCTGTATGGTTCTCTGCT